GAGAGAGAGAGAGTACATGAACTGGACCTATTATTAATTGCATATTAATATTAGCCATCTGATGGACATTGTTGTTTCGATGTATGTTGAACTGGACCTGTTATTACTTGCGTATATTAATATGAGCCATCTGATGGACAGCATTGTTTGAATGTAGGTTGCCTGCTCCGAAGCTTGCCTACAGATGTTGTAATTGACAATTCTACAGGTGTTAGCTTTACATGTGACTTGAGTGATAATATTGCCGCTCCATGGCCTTTGTCATCCTCACTCTCCACGTTGTCCCTCTGTGCTCCAGGTGGGTCAAATATATTTTAAGGTGAAACAGAAAGTAGGTGACAATTCTTTGCTTAGATGATTTGAATTATTGAATTATTGCATTCCAATGCTTATGCTGGCATTGGAAATTTCCTTACAGAGATGTCATTGCCTGCATTGCCCTCATCTGACAAATCTGGTTTTCTTGGTGAGTATTTTTTGTATGTTCTCATGATTATATTTGTTGCAGACTTTATTGTCCATAATATGGTCATAAGGTTTTGATTTAAGTGGCATGCCACTCTTTGTTTCGAGAATGTTCAGAAAGTCTTTTTCTGGTGTTCCCAAACTGACAAATCAATACCGATCCTTTGATAGCTGATGGCCAAATACCATCTTTGATTTGCATGCTCAAATATTAGAGAATGGAAAATATTTTTAAAAATAGGAAATGAAGAATGGTTTGAGGGGAAGTTTTGAATACAACACAGCATAGGAAATAACAATACAGTCATCTGCTGTGATTGGCTACTGCTAGTATATGATAGCATTATTGGAGAGAAAGAGAGAGATTCTTTATGTACTGATCCCTTTCCGTCGGAGAGGGAGAGAGAGAGAGAGATTCTTTATGTACTGATCCATTTCCGTCGTCGGATGCAGATAACTGTTACCGGAGAGTGGACATTCGAGCACTAGTCATCTTGATCTGTATACATAGTATGCTGTTTATCAAGGGCATTTAAACACCTCCATTGAATTGGCCCACAGATTGTGGCCATCGAGTCTCCCTTAGTGGGTGCTTTGTATATCAAAATGTGGGTAGAGAGAGAGAGAGAGAGAGGGGGGCTAGGGTATCTTTTCTTTCCCTTCCCCTATTTCTGTATTTTTAGAACTTATGACTGCATCATCTTTTTCCATGTATATTAGCTGGGCTTTATTTTGTGATTCATTGGTTTTTTGAATGGAATGAACCATCTTTATGTATAATAAATACTCTATGGTCTCTTGGCTCACTGTTTCATGTAACTTGCCTTTTTCGATTTTCTAAGGAATTCACCGGATTAGATTGGGAATCTCTCATTTGGGAACCGCTGCCCTTTTAAATGCAGTTTGGGAGTATTGACTTTTGTTATGGTCAAAAGATTCATGGTCCTGCCAGAGCATTTCGAAGGTTCACTCTCACGGCACCTGTATTGGAATCATCATAATCATCCGAGTTTTATCTCAATTATCTGGGGTTGACCCCTATATACCCAAAATTTGGGATATGATCTCCTCGATCAAGTTATCAAGTTTCGGAATTCTGAAAATGAAATTGTAATATGTGCTTGAAACACGAGTCCTAGTCCCATTTTTGGATGATTGGATCTAGGTTCTTAAAAGCTGTGTAATTCTAAACTTGTACAGTTGGGAACACCCATTTGGGAGTGTAATGTAGATTCCAAAATTTCACTTTGAAAACAAAAAAAAAAAATCTTCGCTAGTGAAGTCTTTAAAGTATGATGTGAATTTGTTGTCAATATTTAACCTAGTAAAATTTCCTTCATGAAAAGGGTGGGTAAGTGTAATTATGTTCAAATGCTATGAGAAATAGTTATTTTAAAATTTCAGAGAGGAAATAAATAGGGAAATTATTGTATATATACCTTAATTTAAGCTTAATTAAAAGAAAACCTTAAGCCTTTGTTCATCTTGTCTACATCAATTTTTTTCATTTTTGGGTGTTTTTTGGAGCAAAATGACCTTCATGATGGTCTTACCACACTGTAATACATATCATTTTATATGATATTTAAAATACCGTAGCAACGTCAAATAATATTAGTAACGTCAAATAATATTACAGTATTTTAAGTACCGTAAAACTCTGGCCATACTGTGAAGCCAATTAAGGTACTTTAAGTACATTAAAAACTAAATCCCAATATCCGGCATTTGAAGTACTATAAAAATTAACCTTATTTTATACGACATTTAAAATGTTGTAAATCATTTTCTCATCCTGTTTATATTTATCTCTTTCATCTATAATTATTTCTTCTTTCTCTTTAATATTTTTTAATATTTATCTTTTCTTTCTCTCTATTTTTTTTTTATCTCTTCTTTCTCTCTCTATAATTTCATTGTCGTTTCTTTAGATTATGTCCTCTGTTTTGCATAGCCAAAGTCAGTGGTTGATTACTCTCTTTAAGGAAACGATGATGGGATTGTAGAGAGAGAAAGAAGAGATACAAAAGAATTAGAGATGAAAGAGATAAACATGAGTTTATGGCATTTTAAGTACCGTATAACATGGTTAGTATTTATAGTACTTAAAATGCCGTATAAGGGTTAGTGTAAATTTACGGTACTTAAAGTACCGTATAAAATGCCTTTAGTATTACGGTACTAAATGTACCTTATAAAATACTCTAAGCATTATGGTACTTAAAGTACCGTATAACATGCACTAAATATTGCGGTAATGCGACTACTGTAAAAGTCATTTTTGGTAAAAAAAAAAACTGAAAAATGAAAAAAAAAATTCAGACTAGATAAACAAAAGTTTGGGATTTTTTTTTTCCAATTAAGCTAAATTATAGTATATTTGCGATAATTTTCCAAATAAATATTAATTTCAATGGCCAAATGATTACATGTGCATTATAACATACCTTGACTTGGACCCAAATTCATCAAACCCTAACTGGAATTGGAAAGTGTGGGACTCAGGCTCGGAGCAGACCAGATCTGAATAAAAAATTAAAATATCTATGTATTTAAATATATTTTATATATTGGGACAATAAAATATTACCCGGATCTAGATAAAATATTACCCGGATCTGGACTTGAATAATGTCCGGGTTCAAGATTTGGACGTGGACCCGACTTACTGGGTCCAATTTTTGAACCCATATCTGGACCCGAATCGTGTATCGGGTCGGGTCTAGGTCCATTGCCACTATTTTCTTTTTTTGGGTGAATCAGCGGGGAGAGGGTCCCTACCTTGATAGGAATTCAGCCTAGGCCGTAAGAGTATTAAAGTCAGTGGGGATTTGGGCCCTTACCCTTTGGTGGGGCTCATCAATACTACCACCAAAGCCCCATGCCATTTTCAAAGTGGTGAGAATGGAGTTAGAAAGATGTCATCATGGGGCTCAGCAACACTATCGCCAAAACCCCATGCTATTCATAAAGTGGTAAATCAATAGGGATTTGAGCCCCTACACTTTGGTCAGAATAGAATCAAAGACTTCATCATAGGGCTTGGCAATACTATTGCCGAGGCCCCTTGGCACTCCCTTGCCACCCCTGCTAGGGAGTAAGTGTATAACATGTAAGAATACATAATATATGCCCATTACAGTACCATTAACCTTTATAAAATTATTAATTAAAAAAAATCGATATGTAATGCATATCGTATGCCCTTGATTCCAGGTTATAACGTAAAATATCGAATCTCTCTACCCCTCTCTGAGGACCTCCATGCGCTCTCTCTCCTTCTCCTGTTAATGCATAATCTTTCCTCAATAAGGATCTCTCAGTAGGTTATGCTAATTCAGTATAAAAGTAAAAATGCAATTGGCCATGTAATGCAATAAAAATCCAATGTTTGAGTGACTTTGAAAGAACAATTACCACTGCATCACAATTGTATGGGACAATGTCCAATCGAACATCAATTGCCCATCCCATCATATTTGGGGCAATCTTCATTCTACTTTCTCATTGTGAGGGAAAATTTCAAAACACAAGCGACAGCAGCATCTAGTCAAAATCCACTCCAAGCTGCAAAGCCAATCAATTCTCACAATAAGCACTCAAAACACAAAACTATGAGAGAGAGAGAGAGAGCTTGGAATGGCCTCTGGATCTAAGGTCATCAAGGTGATAGGGTGCTACAATATGACGTTTAGAATTATACTTCATTAAAGTGTAATATTGTTTTGAAAAAAAAAAGAGAAAAAAGGAAAGAAAAAAAAAGAAAAAAAAAAGTAAAGAAGAAAAAGAAAAGAAAAAAAAGAGAGACAGATATATCTTTTTGCGAATCGGTGTCTAAAGGTCTGTCAGGATGGACTGCTAAACATGAATTATAATATTTTGTTTTGCTTGTGCAAAAATGCTACCACTAAACAAGAATAGTGCCATTTTTCTCTTATATGTGGAAGAATACTACGGCAACTCATTTGTATGAATTGGAAATGAGGTTGGGGCATTGGTGGTAGGGGAGTTGATACATTAACATAACATCCCACCCTCCATTCCTACCATTAACATAGCACCAAAAAAACTACTCTCATTTGTATAGAACACGTGTACAAATTGCCAAAAAATAAGCACTGTATGATAATCACAAGAGGAAGAAAACCATCTTTCTCCCTAATTCTACAATAGTAATAAGAAGAATGGCCTTAGGGATCCATCTAAACTCCCCCTAAAATTTGTGAAATCAAAACTGAAATCTCCTTTAAATAGAATAACACTCCCTTTTCATGCACATGAAGTACATTTGATTGCTTAAATATTTTGGGTTCAGATCCAGGGTTAAATAAAAGTTTTTAAAAACAAAAATGAATTATCAAACAAACAAGGAAGATGATCCTATGAGCCGACCGACTTTTCTACAAATTGCAGGTCAGATGGTCAAGATTGAAAAAATGAGATGATCTCGACAACTGAGAATAATTGACACTTTCCCTACATTTTTATTTTTTTATTTGGAGTGTCTAGATGAAAGCTGTATGTGTAAAGAAAATTCAAGATCTACGGATCTCTACCATTTTTATAAAAAAAAACGCATCAATATATAAGTCTGGCGATTTGTTGCTTTTTTTCTCCATCGTGGGCTGCTCGGCCTATATTGTTCCGTAGGCCGCTTGGCTCTTATGATCTTTTCCCAATAAAAACATCATCGTTAACATGCAGGTGGCACCCAGATGCATCCATGGGTGTAGAGGT